TACTGACATTTTTGTGCTTTATAAAGAATATTTCCATAAAAAATTGGATGTGAAATACCTGAACGTATAAGAAGTCTGCATGTTGAGCTATATTTACGAATGATGTCCTTATACCGATGATAAAATTTAGTAAATGTTTTGACTAGTTTGTAATATCGAAAACCCTGGTGTAATAATTTTTCAGTAATACATAAATTTCTCTCGTTAAAATCTATAACATTGTTACATACACGAGCGAATCGTACAAGTTGAGATATATAAACACCTTAAGATGGTGACAAGGGAACGTCACCATCTAAAAATGGATAATTAACGATAGGAAATGAAAAATCATCTCTTTAATCATATATTTTAGTATTAAGCTTTCCGTTAATGATATAGATATCAAGATCGAGGAAAGGGCAGTGGTCATTGTTAGTATTAGCTTTATTTAAAGTAAGTTCAACAGGATAAATTTCTTTAGTATATGTCTGTCTGACAGCCTCTTGTTAAGGTTTGGTCTGTTCATCAGGTACTATAAGAGATAGAACCAATATATTTGGTGTATAGGATGATTGTTAGGTGTACATGTCTGTCTGACAGCCTCTTGTTAAAATTTGGTCTGTTCCTCAGGTACTATAAGGGATAGAACCGATATATTTGGTGTATAGGATGATTGTTAGGTGTACATGTCTGTCTGACAGCCTCTTGTTAAGGTTTGGTCTGTTCCTCAGGTACTATAAGGGATAGAATCGATATATTTGGTGTATAGGATGATTGTTAGGTGTACATGTCTGTCTGACAGCCTCTTGTTAAGGTTTGGTCTGTTCCTCAGATACTATAAGTGATAGAACCGATATATTTGGTGTATAGGATGATTGTTAGGTGAACATGTCTGTCTGACAGCCTCTTGTTAAGGTTTGGTGTGTTTCAGAGGTACTATAAGGGATAGAACCGATATACTTGGTGTATAAGACGATTGTTAGGTGTACATGTCTGTCTAACAGCCTCTTGTTAAGGTTTGGTCTGTTCCTCAGGTACTATAAGGGATAGAACCGATATATTTGGTGTATAGGACGATTGTTAGGTGTACATGTCTGTCAAACAGCCTCTTGTTAAGGTTTGATCTGTTCCTCAGTTACTATAAGGGATAGAACCGATATATTTGGTGTATAGGATGATTGTTAGGTGTAAATGTCTGTCTGACAGCCTCTTGTTAAGGTTTGGTCTGTCCCTCAGGTACTATAAGGGATAGAACCGATATATTTGGTGTATAGGATGATTGTTAGGTGTACATGTCTGTCTGACAGCCTCTTGTTAAGGTTTGGTCTGTTCCTCAGGTACTATAAGGGATAGAACCGATATATTTGGTGTATAGGATGATTGTTAGGTGTACATAATGTACATGTCTGTCCGACAGCCTCTTATTAAGGTTTGGTCTGTTCCTCAGGTACTATAAGGGATAGAACCGATATATTTGGTGTATAGAATGATTGTTAGATAACATGTCTGTCTGACAGCCTCTTATTAAGGTTTGGTCTGTTCCTCAGGTACTATAAGGGATAGAACCGATATATTTGGTGTATAGGATGATTGTTAGGTGTACATGTCTGTCTGACAGCCTCTTATTAAGGTTTGGTCTGTTCCTCAGTTAGTAAAGGGATAGAACCGATATATTTGGTGTATAGGATGATTGTTAGGTGTACATGTCTGTCTGACAGCCTCTTGTTAAGATTTGGTCTGTTCCACGGGTACTATAAGGGATAGAACCGATATAGTTGGTGTATATGATGATTGTTAGGTGTACATGTCTATCTGACAGCCTCTTGTTAAGTTTCGGTCTGTTCCTCAGGTACTATAAGGGATAGAACCGATATATTTGGTGTATAGGATGATTGTTAGGTGTACATGTCTGTCTGACAGCCTCTTGTTAAGGTTTGGTCTGTTCCTCAGGTACTATAAGGGAAAGAACCGATATATTTGGTGTATAGGATGATTGTTAGGTGTAAATGTCTGTCTGACAGCCTCTTGTGAAGGTTTGGTCTGTTCTCAGTTACTATAAGGGATAGAACCGATATATTTGGTGTATAGGACGATTGTTAGGTGTACATGTCTGTCTGACAGCCTCTTTTTAAGGTTTGGTCTGTTCCTCAGGTACTATAAGGGATAGAACCGTTATATTTGGTGTATAGGATGATTGTTAGGTGTACATGTCTGTCTGACAGCCTCTTGTTAAGGTTTGGTCTGTTCCTCAGGTACTATAGGGGATAGAACCGATATATTTGGTGTATAGGATGATTGTTAGGTGTACATGTCTGTCTGACAGCCTCTTATTAAGGTTTGGTCTTTTCCTCAGGTACTATAAGGGATAGAACCGATATATTTGGTGTATAGAATGATTGTTAGATGACATGTCTGTCTGACAGCCTCTTGTTAAGGTTTGGTCTGTTCATCAGGTACTATAAGGGATAGAACCGATATATTTGGTGTATAGGATGATTGTTAGGTGTAAATGTCTGTCTGACAGCCTCTTGTGAAGGTTTGGTCTGTTCTTCAGTTACTATAAGGGATAGAACCGATATATTTGGTGTATAGGATGATAGTTAGGTGTACATGTCTGTCTGACAGCCTCTTGTTAAGGTTTGGTCTGTTCCTCAGGTACTATAATGGATATAACCGATATATATGGTGTATAGGATGATTGTTAGGTGTACATGTCTGTCTGACAGCCTCTTGTTAAGTTTTGGTCTGTTCCACGGGTACTATAAGGGATAGAACCGATATATTTGGTGTATAGGATGATTGTTAGGTGTACATGTCTGTCTGACATCCTCTTGTTAAGGTTTGGTCTGTTCCTCATGTACTATAAGGCATAGAACCGATATATTTGGTGTATAGGATGATTGTTAGGTGTACATGTCTGTCTGATAGCCTCTTGTTAAGGTTTGGTCTGTTCCTCAGGTACTATAAGGGATAGAACCGATATATTTGGTGTATAGAATGATTGTTAGGTGTCTACATGTTTATCTGACAGCCTCTTGTTAAGTTTTGGTCTGTTCCTCGGATACTATAAGGGATAGAACCGATATATTTGGTGTATAGGATAATTGTTAGGTGTACATGTCTGTCTGACAGCCTCTTGTTAAGGTTTGGTCTGTTCCTCAGGTACTATAAGGGATAGAACCGATATACTTGGTGTATAGGATGATTGATAGGTGTACATGTCTGTCTGACAGCCTCTTGTTAAGGTTTGGTCTGTTCCTCAGGTACTATAAGGGATAGAACCGATATATATGGTGTATAGGATGATTGTTAGGTGTACATGTCTGTCTGACAGCCTCTTGTTAAGGTTTGGTCTGTTCCTCAGGTACTATAAGGGATAGAACCGATATATTTGGTGTATAGAATGATTGTTAGGTGTCTACATGTTTATCTGACAGCCTCTTGTTAAGTTTTGGTCTGTTCCTCGGATACTATCAGGGATAGAACCGATATATTTGGTGTATAGGATAATTGTTAGGTGTACATGTCTGTCTGACAGCCTCTTGTTAAGGTTTGGTCTGTTCCTCAGGTACTATAAGGGATAGAACCGATATACTTGGTGTATAGGATGATTGTATGGTGTACATGTATGTCTGACAGCCTCTTGTTAAGGTTTGGTCTGTTCCTCAGGTACTATAAGGGATAGAACCGATATATTTGGTGTATAGGATGATTGTTAGGTGTACATGTCTGTCTGACAGCCTACTGTTAAGGTTTTGTCTGTTCCTCAGGTACTATAAGGGATAGAACCGATATATTTGGTTTATAGGATTATTGTTAGGTGTACATGTCTGTCTGACAGCCTCTTGTTAATGTTCGGTCTGTTCTAGGTGTACATAGATACATGTATCAGAAGATGTCTGTCTGACATGGTTCATTTGACCATGACTTCTTTTTGATTATGTTGTGTTTATGTTATACAAATGATATATAACAGACTGTCAACATAATTCAATTATAAGTAAAACAGACCAGAGAGTCACATTTCATCCTGTGCACTCTTGCCTATATAAATGTATGCATGCTTGGTTTACTTTTATAAATTTTGACTTGGATGGAGAGTTGTCTCATTGGCACTCATACCACATCTTCTTATATCTATGATTTGTTTTAATAAGTTTATAAAATTAAGAGATGTGGTAGGATTGCCAATAAGACAACTATCAAACTGTCAAATAAAAAAATACTATTTTATCGCACCATGGGTAAATTATGACGTTGTGATTGGTTAAAAGCCATGGCGTGCCAATGAGACAACTAACAAACATTCCTATAAAAACAAATACTAGTATGTCCGACAGCAACTAAATACAACCACTGATATAAAAGGTTCTGTCACATATAGAATGTGGAGGGGTTAATAACGTGTTTTGAGAGCTCAATATTTCCTCATGTTCCTGATAGACAAGCATAGAAAACGAGTTTAGAAATATTCGAATGTTAGAAAGGGCAAAAGGAAAATCGCCGTCCCAAAAAAGTGAATATTAAAAATAAGGACCAGGAACTTCAAAAGTCATATCTTTTGTAAACTTTTAATTTTATTTTCTTCTTGTGAAACGTAAATATTTAAATCTAGGAAATATGTTTTTATAATAGTTAATTTCTTATTTTTTAGACTCCAGGCCACTCAGAGAAAATAAGTTGGCCAAGAGTGTACAGAAACCTATATATTGATATATTGTCGAACAAAAAAAAAACCCAGATAGATCTCTAATTACCTCCCTTGATATGTTATTACCTCCTTTGATCAAACTACAGTTCAGTTTGTATTGGAACATATCAGCTTCATACTGTAGGAAATAAACTTGTTGTAAGGATTGGGATATATATTTCTGCTGTATAAAAAAAGGAAAACATGAAGACACATAATGCTGAGTTAGAGTAGCATATCAGAAAATATACTGCATAGTTTAAGAACACATACTGCAAAATTGAAGGAACATATATATAATTGGAAAACTTAAAAGGGTGTAGTCAGAGAGATGAGAACATACACTAGTGATAAGCTGTATAGATGTGATATATGTGGTACAGGGTTTGGTCAAAGTTCACACTTGCAGAGACACTTGAAAATACATACTGGTGATAAACCTTATAAATGTGATATATGTGGTAAAGATTTCGGTCAAAGTTCAAGCTTGCGGTCTCACATGAGAATACATACTGGTGATAAACCTTATAAATGTGATGTATGTGGTAAAGTGTTTAGTTATAGTTCAAATTTACAGAATCATATGAGAACACATACTGATGACAAACCTTATAACTGTGATGTATGTGGTAAAGTATTTAGGTATAGTACAAGTTTACAGATTCATATGCGAACACATACTGATGACAAACCTTATAACTGTGATGTATGTGGTAAAGGGTTTAAGTATAGTACAAGTTTAAAGATTCATATGAGAACACATACTGATGACAAACCTTATAACTGTGATGTATGTGGTAAAGTGTTTAAGTATAGTACAAGTTTACAGCATCACACGAGAAGACATACTGGTGATAAACCTCATAAGTGTAGTATATGTGGTAAAGGGTTTGGTGATAGTTCAACCTTAAAGAGACACATGAGAACACATACTGGTGATAAACCTTTTATATGTAATATATGTGGTAAAGGGTTTCGGTGTAGTACAAGTTTACAGATTCACACAAGAACACACACTTGTGACAAACCTTATAAATGTAGTATATGTGGTAAAGGGTTTGGTGATAGTTCAACCTTAGGGAGACACATGAGAAGACACACTGGAGATAAACCTTATAAGTGTCACGTTTGTGATAAAAAGTTTAGTGAAAATTCAGGTTTACATAAGCACATGATAATACACACTGGTGATAAACCTTATAACTGTGATGTATGCAGTAAAGGTTTTGCTCAAAAATCAAACTTAAAGATACACATGAGAACACATCATGCACATACTGGTGAAAAATCTTAAAAATGTGATGTATGTGGTAAAGGGTTTATGCATAAGTCAAATTTACAGATTCACACGAGAATACACACTGGTGATAAACCTTATAAATGTGGTGAATGTGGTAAAGTGTTTAGTTATAGTTCAAATTTACAGAATCATATGAGAACACATACTGATGACAAACCTTATAACTGTGATGTATGTGGTAAAGTATTTAGGTATAGTACAAGTTTACAGATTCATATGCGAACACATACTGATGACAAACCTTATAACTGTGATGTATGTGGTAAAGTGTTTAGGTATAGTGCAGGTTTAAAGATTCATATGAGAACACATACTGATGACAAACCTTATAACTGTGATGTATGTGGTAAAGTGTTAAAGTATAGTACAAGTTTACAGCAACACACGAGAAGACATACTGGTGATAAACCTCATAAATGTAGTATATGTGGTAAAGGGTTTGGTGATAGTTCAACCTTAAAGAGACACATGAGAACACATACTGGTGATAAACCTTTTATATGTAATATATGTGGTAAAGGGTTTCGGTGTAGTACAAGTTTACGGATTCACACAAGAACACACACTTGTGACAAACCTTATAAATGTAGTATATGTGGTAAAGGGTTTGGTGATAGTTCAACCTTAGGGAGACACATGAGAAGACACACTGGAGATAAACCTTATAAGTGTCACGTTTGTGATAAAAGGTTTAGTGAAAATTCAGGTTTACATAAGCACATGATAATACACACTGGTGATAAACCTTATAACTGTGATGTATGCAGTAAAGGTTTTGCTCAAAAATCAAACTTAAAGATACACATGAGAACACATCATGCACATACTGGTGAAAAATCTTATAAATGTGATGTATGTGGTAAAGGGTTTATGCATAAGTCAAATTTACAGATTCACACGAGAATACACACTGGTGATAAACCTTATAAATGTGGTGAATGTGGTAAAGTGTTTAGTTATAGTTCAAATTTACAGAATCATATGAGAACACATACTGATGACAAACCTTATAACTGTGATGTATGTGGTAAAGTATTTTGGTATAGTACAAGTTTACAGATTCATATGCGAACACATACTGATGACAAACCTTATAACTGTGATGTATGTGGTAAAGTGTTTAGGTATAGTGCAGGTTTAAAGATTCATATGAGAACACATACTGATGACAAACCTTATAACTGTGATGTATGTGGTAAAGTGTTTAAGTATAGTACAAGTTTACAGCATCACACGAGAAGACATACTGGTGATAAACCTCATAAGTGTAGTATATGTGGTAAAGGGTTTGGTGATAGTTCAACCTTAAAGAAACACATGAGAACACATACTGGTGATAAACCTTTTATATGTAATATATGTGGTAAAGGGTTTCGGTGTAGTACAAGTTTACGGATTCACACAAGAACAAACACTTGTGACAAACCTTATAAATGTAGTATATGTGGTAAAGGGTTTGGTGATAGTTCAACCTTAGGGAGACACATGAGAAGACACACTGGAGATAAACCTTATAAGTGTCACGTTTGTGATAAAAGGTTTAGTGAAAATTCAGGTTTACATAAGCACATGATAATACACACTGGTGATAAACCTTATAACTGTGATGTATGCAGTAAAGGTTTTGCTCAAAAATCAAACTTAAAGATACACATGAGAACACATCATGCACATACTGGTGAAAAATCTTATAAATGTGATGTATGTGGTAAAGGGTTTATGCATAAGTCAAATTTACAGATTCACACGAGAATACACACTGGTGATAAACCTTATAAATGTGGTGAATGTGACAAAGAGTTTAGTCAGAGCCAAAATTTACATAGACACATGAGAACACATACTGGTGATAAACCTTATATTACAGAGCTCCAGATAAGCTGCGTATTTGCGTGATCACGCAATACAAATAATTAAAAACCCAATGCAATTGCCCATTGCAGGGTTCAAAAACCCAATTCATTCAAAGGAAAACCCAATTATATGCCAAAACCATGAGTTCTTAACGCTTTTATTCGCTATTGTTTGCGTTATTTACCCTTATCTGATTACAGTCGTCGCGTAAATCTATTTTTATAATATTTATAATTGGAAATTTCCTTTCGTTCTAAAAATAGAACCCTGCATCATGTAGCCGAAATGGGTCCCTGTTGGAATTTTCCATTGCTCAAAAGGTACACGTGTTTATGAAAACATTTCGATCTTCTCTGCGTTTATCCAATTAGCGTTTGTCTTGTTGTCATATTTTTTTCGAATTGCTCGGGATTTATCATAACATACAATGAATTAAAACGAAAGTAAATATCCGATAAAAATATTGAATAGAAGCATGTTATCAGCTTCTTTTTGATACTTTAGGGAAAATTATTATGATGAGAACAAGACCCGTTTGCGTACCTTAACGAGAACATTGCTAGAACGATAAACACGGGGTTTTTTCAAGAACGAAATCAGCTGGAAAAAGTGAAAGGCCAAATCAATTATGACATGATATATGTAGTTGGAAAGCATCAGAAACCAAAAGTTCTAATCAGCTGGGACAACTTAACCCAGATTTATGTAAATTAAATTAAACAAAAACATTCAAGTATAATTTTAGTTTATATATTGTTTTTTTCATTTTAGTTGATGAGTGAATACACATATCCGTTTTTTACGTCAATTAATGCATCTTGACACTTTCTTTGTTTTGGTCTTATTGTTCTGTATGCTTATGATAGTTGTCTTATTGGCAAGTGTAGTTTAACATTGTCATTTATTTATTTGATGTTGCAGAATTATTTGTAAATTTAACTCTGTAAATTTAAGTTGAATGTGGTCTCCGTCATTAAACCTATAAACCTGGTCAAGGTTTTGGGGTATATCTTAAATCTTGGAACTACTTATTATTTTTATTAAAAAGTAGATCTGGCAAATAGGTGAAAGGACTTGCAAAACTTTCTTACAGCACCTAAATTTCACATATATTACATAAAAATCTAAACACTTAGCCACGCCTACCCCAACTAAACTGTAGGGTGATCATATGGGATCTAGAAAGGTAATTAGTAACTGTCCAACTAGTGACACCAGTTGCAGTTTCTATAAGTTGTGAGAAAATACAAAACTGGCAGAACGTTTAAGATGGAAAAACATCTGCATGGGGTTGATATAATGTGATTATAACATGCCTAAACATTCAATATTGTGTTGATGAAAAAACCCAATATTTAAGGAGCTTGGTGGTGAAAAACCCAATTTGATATTTGCTTGAGGGGTGAATTGGAATTGATAATGCAATTTCAAAACTTTATCACCCAATTACATAAAAAAATGGTGGGTAAAAACCCCAATTTGTGAATTCTTATCTGGAGCTCTGCTTATACATGCATGTAAATGTGTTAAATGTTTGACAGGATTTAGTCAGACTTGTGAATAAAAGAGACACGTGAGAATACATACTGGTGATAAACCTTATAAATATAACTTGTGTGATAAAGGGTTTAATGATCGTTCAAATTTCCATAGGCACAGGAGAATACATACTGGAGATACTCCTTATAAATGTGTTAAATGTGGTAAAGGGTTTAGCCAGATTGGAATCTTAATTAAACACATGAGAAAACACACTATAAACGATAAACCTTATAAATGTCACTTGTATAATAAAGAGCTATGTGAACTTCGTGTCTTAGAGAGACACATCAGAATACACACTGGAGATAAACCTTATAAATGTGCACATGTGTGAGAAAGAGCTATGAATTTATGTGAACTTCGTGGCTAAGAGAGACACGTGAGAATACACACTGAAGATAGACCTTATAAATGTCATGTTTGTGATAAATAGTTATGTGAACTCCATGGTTTCGAGCACGTAGAGAGACACATGAGAATACAAACTGGTTATAGACCTACTAAATGTGAAGGAAAAGATCAACATGATCAAGCCTGAGCAATCTCAAACTTATAGAGACACATGAGAATACATACATTGACATACAAGTGACAAACTTCATCAATGCGACGTACACAATTAAAGGTTAAGTAAACTTCATAGCTTACAGAAACACATGTAAGATATATACAGTACTACCTGTGACGTCATCAATGTGACTTACACAATATTAAAGGTTAAGTTAACGTCATAGCTTACAGAAACACATGTAACATATATACAGTACTACCTGTGACGTCATCAATGTGACCTACAATTAAAGGTTAAGTAAAATTCATAGCTTGCAGAAACACATGTAACATATATATACAGTACTACCTGTGACGTCTTCAATGTGACGTACACAATTAAAGGTTAAGTAAACTTCATAGCTTACAGAAACACATGTAACTTATATACAGTACTACCTGTGACGTCATCAATGTGACGTTGACAATTAAAGGTTAAGTAAACTTAATAGCTTACAGATTCACATGAGAATACATACATTGACATACAAGTGACAAACTTCATCAATGCAATGTGACGTACACAATTAAAGGTTAAGTAAACTTCATAGCTTACAGAACACATGAGAATACATACATTGACATACAAGTGATAAACTTCATCAATGTGACGTACACAATTAAAGGTTAAGTAAACTTCATAGCTTACAGACACACATGAAACATATATGTTAGACTCAGATCGACGTCCGGTCTCTAATCGACGTCCGTTGCTCAAATCGACGTCCAAATCTGACGTCACGTTCTCAAATCAGTGTCCAATATTATAACCCTCTAATCGACGTCCAATGTGACGTAATGAATCACAAAAACGATGTCTAATAGATGAGAGGAGAGATGTCTAATTTTATCAAATCATTTATTTTTTTTTAAGTTGATCTTTGTTTATATTATCTGTATCGTTTTGTCTTTTTTTGAAGTAGCTTACAGAAACTATAACTGTTTTCTTATATTGTTATCAAAATTAAAGGACAAACATCAGAAAATGACAATAGGACAATCACACACATCATATTACTTAAATATTACATGCAGATGCATATTAATATTTTGATGTAAGACGTTCATATTCTCGACCTACGTTGTGGTTTTCCTTCCTTTTTCATATAAACTAATGACATTTGTGTATACATTGTACAACAATGAGACAACAACCCTAAGACAAAGATAATCGAAAGACATCTAGTGGGCAATATACAGACTCGAACAATAGAAAGAATAAAAACGTATCGCCAGTTGTTGTAAAGTATTATGATGTGGACTTCTGACACTTATATTTTTCAACAACTTTTTATACGACCGCAAAAAAATTTTTGTGGTCATATATTGGTATGATGTTGGCGTCGTCGTCGTCGTCGTCGTCGTCGTCGTCGTTGTCGTCGTCGTCCGGCGTCGTCCGAAGACACATTGGTTTTCGCACTCTAACTTAAGTTTAAGTGAATGGATCTCTATGAAATTTTACCACAAGGTTCAATACCACAAAAGGAAGGTTGGGATTGATTTTGGGGGTTATGGTACCAACAGTAGAGGAAAAAGGGGCCAAAAATAAGCATTTTTGTAACTTCCAGACATAACTTGTGTGTTAGTGTATGGATCTCTCTGACATTGTACCACAAGGTTCCATATCACAAAAGGAATGCTGGGATTGATTTTGGGGGTAATTGCCTAAAAATTTTAGGAATTAGGGGCCAAAAAAGGGGCAAAAAACAAGCATTTTTCTAGTTTCATGACAATAACTTGTGTGTAAGTGTATGGATCTTTCTGAAATTGTACTACAAGGTTCCACAAAGGGAAAGCTGGAATTGAGTTTGGGGGTAATTACCGAAACGTTTAGGAATTGGGGACCAAAAAGGGGCCAAAAATAAGCATTTTTCTAGTTTCCAGACAATAACTTGTGTGCAAGTGTATGGATCTCTCTGAAATTGTACTGCAAGGTACCATACCACAAAGGGAAGGCTGGGATTGAGTTTGGGGGTGATGAATCATAAGGGGGTTCAAAAAATTTGGGGGGGAGTTTTTTTTTTTCCTTTTTTTTTTTTCTTTTTTTCCTTTTTTTTTCTTTTAAAATTTTCCATTTTAAGTTGGTTATTACTGATTTATATTTAAAAGCAAATAATAATGATATGGTAGGAGATACACACCAAACAGGATGTGTAAATTATTATATAATAAGTTTTGTGCAATAGCAAGAAATTTTCAATTGCACAGTATTGCACAATAGCAAGACATCTTCAATTGCACAGTATTGCGCAATAGCAAGAAATATCCAATAGCACAATATTGCGCAATAGCAAGATATTGTCAATTGTACAGTATTGCACAATAGCAAGAAATATTTAATTGCACAGTATTGTGCAAAAGAAGATACTTCCTATAAATTGCTTATTTTTTGACCAATTTCAATGGGGTTTTATTCTTGAATTCTTGGGGTCCTTTAATATGCTGAATCTAACCGTGTATTTAGTTTTTGGATTTTGGGCCCCGTTTTTAAATTGGTCCACATTGAGGTCCAAAGGGTCCAAAATTCAACTTTGTTTGATTTTTATCAAAAATTGAATTATTGGGGTTCTTTGATATGCCGAATCTAACCGTGTATTTAGATTCTTAATTTTTGGTTCCGTTTTCAAATTGGTCTACATGTACATTAAGGTCCAAAGGGTCCAAAATTAAACTTAGTTTGATTTTAACAAAAATTGAATTCTTAGGGTTCTTTGATATGCTGAATCTAAACATGTATTTAGATTTTTGATTATGGGTCCAGTTTTCAAGTTGGTCCAAATCGGGGTCCAAAATTAAACTTTGTTTGATTTCAACAAAAATTGAATATATGGGGTTCTTTGATATGCTGAATCTAACCATGTATTTAGATTTTTGATTTTAGGGCCCCGTTATCAACTTTGTCCACATTGAGGTCAGAAGGGTCCAAAATTAAACTTTGTTTGATTTCATCAAAAATTGAATTCTTTGGGTTCTTTGATATGCTGAATCTAACCATGTATTTAGATTTTGGATATTGGACCATAATAGGTGAATGTCCAATTTAAAATTTTTAAGTTCTTAGACCACATTCATTCTGTGTCAGAAACCTATGCTGTGTCAAATATTTAATCACAATCCAAATGCAAAGCTGTATCAAGCTTGAATGTTGTGTCCATAATTGCCCCAACTGTTCAGGGTTCGACCTCTGCGGTCGTATCAAGCTGCGTCCTGCGGAGCATTTTATTGAGTTTTAGGTTCAACCCACCCTTTATTAAAGTTGTGATTTTACTGCTACAAGTCCATAAACAATGATAAAACGGACTTTGATTAGAGAAGCCAAAAAATTGGACGTCGATTTTGAGATCTGAGTCTTACATATATACCAGACATACATAACGTAAACCTTATAATTGTTTGTATATAAACTATTCGTTCATTACAATGTATCATGTTTATTTTGTACTTAATATAAATCAGGCCTTTAAATTTCTCGTTTGAATTGTTTTACATTTGTTATTTTGGGCCTTTTATAGCAGACTACATGGACTATGCGGTGTGGGTTTTGTCATTTCGGGGCCTTTTATAGCAGACTACATGGACTATGTGGTGTGGGTTTTGCTCAACGTACAATGATCTCTAGTTGTTAATTTCTATATACTTGATATATGTTATTTGGTCTCTTGTGGAGAGTTGGGTCATGGGAATCATACGACATATTTTGTCTTATATATTCATAGCTCATACATGTAGCATGTGCAGAAACACGAAACATACACCGGAGAGAAACTTTATAATTCTGAGGTATGCATGTCACTGTGGGCAGGTGGACAGAACAAAATCCACCTGAGCTGTGGTGTAGTTGAGGTGTCAGACCACCAATTGACTCCCTCCAATTTAGAACGCAAAAGAAGGCGTACAAAAAATAGTGCATTTAATGTCATTGTTTACTTGAACTAACCAACAAATGCAGAAATGAAATTTTGGTGAAAGAGAAATATATTTAGACCATTTTGAGCCAAAATTTACTTATCTCTTAGTTTGCATTTAAAATTTAGGAATGATGCGCTCCATAGTATACTTATTTAAGATTTCCAGAAAACCAGGGGTTATTTTTAGCGGTACCTCAGTTCAGGAGGTCTCTTCTTTCTTATAAGGCTTTAAATTGGCATGTAGAAAGTTGATACCTGTACGATTCAGGATATACCTGGTTTCTATGAAGTAAAACTTATGGTAAAATAATTAGAAAGCTGTGAAAATTGCAAAATTTGGTTGAACAGATAGGGACTTTTAATTGGTGGTCTGGCACCTTTTATATAGGATGTACAGATACCGGAGATTAACCTTATAATTCTAAGGTATGCATTCCACTTTGGGCAGAGGGACAAAGCAAAATCCACCTCAGCTGTAGTGTAGTTTATAGCATGTACAGATACACGAGAAGAAACCTTTTAATTCTGAGGTATGCATGCCACTGTGGGCAGGTAGACAAAACAA